TAAACGCCTTGCCAGGTGGGTAGCCGAATCTCGATTTGCCTGAGGATTCCGCGAAAACCATAGCGGAACCGTCCGATCAAACTTCTTCATCTTTTGACCGCTCGATCCAATCAAGAACATCGAGGAGGAAGAGGTCTAATCCCAATCTGCATACCATCGTCAGACTGGACAGCCGTCCAGGACAGGGACAAAGCCTCTCCAGCTCAAATCACAGGCGCTAGTCCCGCCATGGCTGCCTTGAAGCTAGCTCCTACACCCATTGTGGAGCTGGAAGCTCAACTTCTTGCGGCATTGCACTTCTCCTTTCTTCTTTCTCAGCTGTTGTAAGGTTTTGAAAGTGCTTTTCATCCCTCTACAGCCTTGCAGAAGGCTTGCTGCAAGCAGATTTGATGAGGTCCTCGAGGGTCCCGAAACCATACGATACACTTCGCCGTCTTGGGACAAGGGTCAAATGAGCATCTCTGGTCCTGTAAAAACTTGAAGCAGCTGGATACATGAATTCACTATGAGATACAAAGCTTCTTTGGCTTGAACGATGAGCAGGATGAGAAGCGCCGCAGCACAGACCACCCTAGGTCCAACAAGGAAGCTCGTGAAGCTTGGCAGCCATTGTTGAACTCTCGTCAGCTTGACGTCACACATAATTCTATGATATTATTCGAACCGTCCGATGAAACGATCGCGACTTTCGGTCCCCGAAAATCCTGGAGCCAATGCGCTATCAGAAGAGTCTAAACGCAGATTCGGCGTTCCGCCTGTGCTCCGGACGGTTGCAATACCTTGACCAGGAGACCGCCGTCGAAAGCTAGCAAAAGGCTAAGAAAGCCTCACCAGCGACCTTTTATTTTTATTTCTGCGCATCTATGTCCTGACACTCGAGTACGATGCTTAGGCATCGGAAAGAGTGGAAGGCATAGCGCTAGAAGATTAGTGTCAAAAAAATAAAAAGCAAATCCAACATGTACGCAGTGTAAATTCGGTAAGTTTCTCTTTTCGATTATCCGACGGCCCAAATTTAGTGAGCAAAACACACTGCGTGCTCGTACATCGTCCGATGGCAAAATGTTTCAAGAACTAACTAAATCAAATGGCCTGCGCGGGGTGTGCGCGCACATTGGTGTGCCTCCGCTTCAGTAAAGCCTATAGGGGGACGTTTTGCGTTCCGCACAAAGCAACCGTCGTACGCATCGCAACGACGGGACACCAGTGACGTCATTTACTAGACGGCCGTCGACGCTCAAACTCATTGCCTCAAATTGAATTCAATTAGCACTCAACGTTTGAAAGCATGTTTGAAGCTTCTTTGTGAATGATGCTGGGGATCCGTGCACCGCGTATGACGGTATGTGCACAAGTTCCTTTTTAAGTGGAACCACTTCCTAGGGTTGATCGAAATTGGCAAGGCTCTTCTAGGTTTTGTGGCAGCATGAATTTTGAAGATTTGAAATTACGAAAGCCCAGCGTGCCACTGGCTTCTAAACCGTAAACGGTAGCCTCCAAGAATATAAGTTCTCGAAACTCTCTCAGACAAGACACACGGCAGGCTGGGAGCTTTAATAGAATGGAACCGGGGTTTCCAACAGAATTCGATCCATAGATCTAGAGAAACGAAAGCGCTGGCAGCAGAAAACAGGGCTGTACTATATGCATGACTCACTAGTCAAATCGGTTCTTTGATTCTCCAATTCCGACTTAACTTGAGAAGCATCGGTTCCCGAAAGTAGTGTAGTGCCGTGTTGTGTACCGCCAGATCTCACATATGTTTAAAAGACGTCAACAACTTCAAAATGTCCTTGTTCCTGACGTACTATGACCCTTATGCTTCGTGCCACTGCAAGCTGTCAGGATGCCATATGCCCTGCATTTCTTGTTTATAGTTGACAAAGTGTAGACTTGACGCAACCCTGACGCGAAATTCGCTCCTACCTACGCATTGACATGCCAAAGGTGATGCCGTCCGTTTAGGACTAGGCAATCGAAGGCCCTCGCTAGCCACCCTCGACGCAACCCGGGTTTTTAAGACTCGGAGAAGACGACATCGCTTCTTAGGACAAACTTCGTCCCTGCAGTAACTGCGCGCGCTTCATGCCCCATGCAACGATTGCCGTGGATGTGAAGAAGAGCTGTGCCAGCTCGCGGCGCGATCTGCATCAAGAAAATTCTTAACATACTTTCATCAACGGATCCCGAGCAGGAAGGGGTAAAATTAGTCCTACCAGCCCCTCGCGGAATCGTACTGAGCTATGCAAAGAAATGGTAGCGATGCTAGGCAGGAGAGAGGTCCGTTCGTGCCCACTGCGCAGCAGTGCGAGGCGAAGCCTGCGACTGATATTGATTGCGAACTGCTCTGTGAGACAGCCAAAACCATTGAACCGTTGATTACATCAACACCCCCTGGCTATTGCCTAAACTTGCCGTTTTCCACAAACGCAGCAAAGGTCCCCCGAGACATTGATGGTAGGATGACCAACGAAAGTACAATCGAAGCATTGACTGACACCTTCAACAGACTCAAAGTCCCAGTGCGAGGCTGCGAATGAGAAACAATCAAGAAGAGCAGCAAATGTCAACTTCAAAGAGGACAAGGCGTACCTCAGCTACGATGTTGTCTTGCTCATCATAGAACGCCGTCTCGCCACCTTCTAGCGGCGGCAGGCCTTTGGTTGCGGAGGCGGGCCCGCCCGAGAGGTAGACCAAGAGCGTGTACTCTGTCCGTTTGCCGCGCCCGTGAGGAATGCTCACGTCGATGTGCTGAAAGAATGGACGTGTTAGGACAAGACTGGTACAATAGGACGGGAAGAGGAACAAGAGAGGAATCAGGTCGCAGAGTTTTACACGAGTATGATACCGAGAAGGCCTGGAGAGCCGCTGGGCTTGTGCATGCGGACTGTACGTCTTGTCCAATCGGACATTGCATACGAAGTCGCATGTTGAGAAAGAATGTGACAAAGCCACGTTGATCTCGACAATTCCAAGATTCGCACAGTATCTTGCTTCCTTTCGTATCCTCTACCGGAAGATCTGACGCTCGGGCACACAGCATTGTCGGAATCAGTAGGGCCCTCATTTCTTAAGCGGAGGTACACACGGTAAGCCTCATTCTCAGAAGTAAACCGTCAATGCAAGCAGAAGCCGAACTCAGTCAGCGGCCTGTTCAACCAGCGGGGATGAACGGAAGCGATTGGCAGGATACACATGACGTGGTCACGCACTTTGTCAAATCGCTGCCCCGGGTTGTAACAGTAGAAGCGAATGTGTGGATCCAAGCCAACCGCACGACGGCCCCCGACGGCCGGGACTTGCCTCTGCAAAACACGAAAACGAAACGGCTCAGCGAGGCGTTACTTAAACGCAGAAGGAATGACCGTCACCGGAAGGCAGTTTTGCTTGATCGGTCACGAGAATGAACAGAGTACTGCGAGCACTTGTGGATAGGTTGCGGAACCGATGAAATCTGTGTACCTTTCCTTGGAAAACCTTGCTGTTCAGTCTGTGACGTGGGCCGTTAAAAGCAGAGGCTGCAAGAGAAACTCGTATGAAGCAGCTGTCTAGCAATGGATGCATTCAGATCCTCTTGGGAAAATCAGGGTGATTGGCTCAATGTTGCTTTAAGTCTTCTGCTACTTCCTGAGCTGAGTGACTTTTCCTTACTTCAAAGATGCTGGCCAGTCCACCGTCCCAAAGTCGTTGGGCCAACGCAGGATCCACCGTTGAGGCGCTCTCGTTGTCCCTGAAAGCTTCGCCCGCCTCAGGGCCTTTGCTGCTGACGTGTTTGAAGCCTGGACACCGAAGATTGAGACCCGCATAAGTCACAGCATAGATGTTATGTAAACAGTCAAGGACACTTTATAACAAGCACAGCCTTTCACAAGAGGACCTGCCAATTGCACGCGTCGAGTTCAGCAGTAATCGTTGTAGGGTCGCATATGATAGAAAAGAAGTTGTCGATGTGTCGCCTCCAACTTGGAATTTCTGATGTTGCGTACGAACGTTCAAGCGTCAACAGCAAAACCGCTGGAAGATATCCCATACGTACGGTAGTCCTCAGAGCACTTTCTAGACTCATACATAAACGGCCTCTGAACGTCAAGAAACAAGACGTCTCATACGACCTCAAAGCTGAAACAGTATCTGAATTCTAGAATAGACTCCTGGCAGACGTCGCACAGATTAATGTGCGGCCGCAATTCACATAGGCGGTGCCTTTTCACTTCCCCATCATACGGTGCTGGCCCGGGCCCCAACTTGAACCAACTTGAGCCAGATGTGAACTCTGTCCACCAAAAGACCCAATGATTGCTATGAGTTTGATGCTCCCTGAAGGGGACTTGTTCTGAAATTTGCAAACAGGATGATTCTGAACAACAAATCACCCCTCACCAAGGACGTGCGCCTGCTCAATGAAGGCAATGCATTCGCCCCTGGTCAGATATCCAGGGACTGTGAAGAGCTGCCAGTCCTTGTGTAACACCGGACTAAGGTTGGCCTGCAACCAGCGAGGTGCAGCATCTTAGGAATACTGTGGGAGATTGATAGAGCTGACAGCTAGAAAGCATGAAGTAGGACTTTAGAAGTACACTCAAACATTACACCTAGTCGCTCTGCTTTTGACTGCGGTGACTGATCAGAATGTGGCTCTGAAGATGTAATCGCTTTATGGATGTTTATGCTTGAGACGAACGTCACGGCTTGGACTTCATGGCTCTGCCCTCGTACAAAACTTGGAAACTTCAACAAAATAGAAACTCAGCTGTTCAGTTCAAGCCTCACCTTAGCAGATAGATCAGGCCAACGAGGTCCTTGACCACTCTTACCCGACCGTTCTGCTCAGTGACGGAAGATATCAGAGTCAAGCAATGCAAGGCACAGGTTCATTTGGAACTACATCACATGCTTTGACGAATTTTTCAATCCCGTCGTTTTGCAAGCTTTTAGATCTTATTATTGCTGCTAGGATGCATCAAAAGGAGGAGAACCCAGATAAGCAATCAAAACCCATGAAGCCCTCAACATCTGAATAGGCCTTTGTTGCACCACTCACATGATGATGAGGAAAGCACTTCACAAGGACCCTGCATCGATCTACAAACTCCTGAGCTTCACACGCAGACCACATATTGGGTGAAGTAATGTATGTACAAATCAGTGAAGGCATCCCAAAGGCAGACTTCTCACTGTCAGATTCGTCGAATTGTACGTCCCTCGTCCGCGCACTTTTCTGTGCGCCAGCTTGCTTTGCCCGCCCCATCTCTGCTTCCGCAGCTCACAGCATTACAACCGCGTAAAGCCCAAGCTCCTTGAACTATGAAAAGCAAGTGGTGAGACGCCCTGTCTTTACAATGCAACAAGATGATGATCACCTCTTCACGTTATTGTGCATGCAGGGCAAAGGGGCGCCAAAGGGGCTGGAGGGCGCGTCCTGACCTCCTCAAAACCAACGCCCCGAGAAAGACGAGCAACAGATTTGACTCGAGGAGCTCATTAGGGTTTTGAGGCAGCTTGAGGCCAGCAAACCCTAGCCATGTCCTACTCAGCTCTGCCTCTGAGGCTTTGACAAAGAAACTTGGAAGAAGATACATTTAACTTCTATTCCTAGAATCAGGGAGGGGAAAGCGACTTATCGTGGTGCCACAGCAAGCCTGAAGCGGCTCGTCTAAGAGCCTGCAGGAGAAGCCGCAGGAAAAGCCAGATTGAGTTCTGCCTCCAGGTCTTTTGAGAGAAAAGGTTGTGGTTTCGTCCCTGGGGGCTGCTGCGATGCCCATCTTCAAGACAGCATACAATGGATACGGGGTATGATTCCATCAGTCATCCTCTTGATAGGTCACACTTTTTGTTGTTTTCAATTATCTTCATTCACAGGATCAAGTTCATTGTGATGGCCCTGGTGTCAATCTGCCCAAGTGCTGGAATGCTCACAACTTTGTTGATTCTTTCTTACATCAAAGTTTGTTAATGTATCGTTGGTTCTGTATAAAAGTTGCATACATCACAAAGACAACAAGTGCTCAGGACACTAATTCAGTCTGACCATTTGTCAAACTCCTAGCAATGTTCGCTGGGCTTGAACAGCTGTTACTGTGTCACCAGTCTCCCAGAAGGCATTGATGGGGGAAAAAGGCATCATGGCAGCATTCAAAAGAAAGAATGCTGAAATCAGAATCTTGTTGTTCCCACCCCAGTTTCTTTACTTTCTCAAAACTTCTCATTCCTGGTCAACGACGAAGCGCTGATAAGCTGGGTGGTGGGACGCCACTCATCGGACGTTTGTCACAGAATCAATCCGGTCTGACGTTGGTTTTCAGGGAAAAGGTGGAGTTCACTCTTCCTGGGAAGGCGCCACTCCTTGGACATTGTCAAAAATGAATCAATTCTGACGTTTGTTTTTGGGAAACAGGTGAAGTTCAGTCCGTTCCTGGAGACGCGGCTGGCCGTCGCCACCTCACAAAACTTTGGCATCATTGGCAATGGGCGGCAGTACGTCCTCGAGGTGGGTCCTCGTTTCCTGAAGGGTCGGGTGCTGAGACTTTCTTTGATGGAATGTTCCCAATATTTCGAAAACATTGGTTGGTCTCCTGGGAACCATCTACAATGTTCAGAATGGACGTAGTAATATCGATGTACGCTTCCTTTGAAAAGTTTGATGACAGGAGATGAGTCCGTGTTCGTGGGTGGTCGTGCGAAACATATACCATGGTCGGCGGCATACTACCCTTTTTTTTGCCTGAACCCTTCTTGCGTGGCTTTTTTGCGGTGATAAAAATAATAAATGTGGGGGGGGGGGATTGTCGCAAGACCTGACAGAAATGACGTTTCCGAAGAATAAACTTCCTGTGAACCAGAAAAGCACTGCAGCAGACTCTTGAAGTGATTGTTGTCGGAGGATTCTGTGTCAACTGAAGGAAAAGTCCTCCGGCCCCCCACCCTCTCTATAACCAATTTCCACAATGCCGCTGTCTGCCAATCAGAGCAATGATGCTTCGCGCTTGGCTACTCTTGTCTTATGTCTCTCCTCGTCCTCCACCGGACTTGTCTTCTCCCTCTCAAATTGAGGTTTACCCGTGCTTCCTTGCAGCTCACACCCCAGGGAATCCAGGAGCTTATTTCGTTCGATACAAGAGACGGGCTGTACGATTGCACCTGGAGTGAAGTGAGCACATCTTCTCAATTTTCGAGCTTGTAATATATCTAGGGGCAGGCGTTGGACTAAGTCTCAAGCGCGTCAGCTCATCTCTCTCAGAAGCTGTCCATTCGCATCTCTGTGGGGTCCTAACTCGCAATTTAAGTTTTACCCGCTGACCTGATTCAAAGGCGACTCTCAAATTCAACGCTTCGTGGAACTAAGGTCCGCATATCCCAAGGACGTTGTCGCCTGCGTAGGGGGCATTTTCTTTGGGGATTACCGAACCGTATTGCGTTGATTTTTGTGACGGCGACGTCACGACAAGTCAACAATCATGGGGTATCCCTGAGGCATCCCTGAGATTTTCTTGAAATGGAAAAGAAATGTGCCGATCATTACAATGGACTGCAAACCTCTCACCGGGGTCTCTGACCACAAAATATCGCTCCCTCTGAATGCTTTTCTTGCCGCAGGAGAACGAAAACATCTTGGTGTCTGCGAGCGGCGACGGGAGCGTCAAGGTTTGGGACCTGGCGGCGCCCCCCCATCAGAACCCGCTCAAGAGCTTCGAGGAGCATTCGCACGAAGTGTGAGAGACATACTCGAAGAGAGATACTTACATCGAAGTTCACGAATGGCAGCTGACAGTCGAATCCATAGTAAAGTGCGATTGCAGCGGGTTCAGTTCGGCTTGTTGCTTCAGCTTTACGTTACTTCCGAGGCCGGGCTCGATCTGAGAATAGTAAGAGTCGGGCTTCATAAGAGGAAGGTCACCTTCAGTGTGGCAGAAAGTGCGCCAGAAATCGAATGGCTCCGATGCGGGCATATGCTGCCGTCGGGTTGCCTTTGTCGAGCTATTACACAAGCTTCTGTGCACGGCCATGTCGCAAGAACAATTTCCTGTGGTCTCAGAGACAGGGTTTGGCGGGCATTCTTCGAAGCTTCTCTCTCTCGTTGGCTTCAGGTACTCGTTGGACTGGAACACAGTGCGGCGAGACGTGTTCCTCAGTGGGTCTTGGGATGACTCTATAAAGGTGAGGATCAGCAACCTCGAGTGTCAGAATGAAAGGAAGGAGAACATGGACTCCCGGCTAACCCTCGCGAGCCCCCTCGGCTACAATCCCAGGGGATCGACGGTCGACGGAGATAACAGAAGTGTTTGGAGCCGTCGATCTGAAACGGTTATGGCAGAGGGGGTCATCGCAAGCTGGCCGGGAGTCCATGTTCCTCCTGCTTCCGTTCTGTCAGTAGTCATTTTGCCGTGCGCCTGATTGCTGTGGATGCAATCAGGGTTTCAAGAACCGGGTGGATAGCAGCGATGGCGATAATTTCCAGCAGGAAGGACAAGGGGAAACTTTTGAAGACTCGAAAAGCAGAGTCCGTTGTCCGTACATTTGTTTATGCGGCGGTGAAAGCATCATCTGTTCGCACGAAGGGTCAACGACAAGAGACCGTGTCCTCAAGGGCATGTGGAGGCGGACGACAACACACTGACAAACCTGCAAGACCTGGGCCCAGAATTGTTTTCTTGTGTGAACGGGTTGCCTTGCACCTCATTGACGATGCTGAAACTACTATGGGTACCCATTGCTTTTCGCGGATCAGTCTCCTTCCATGTCAATCGTCGCGTATTGGCTTCGGCCATTTCTGCAACGTTGATTCCAACCTTCCAGTCAAGTTAGTCCTGCCAGCTTTCTACAGGCTGCAGTCCTTGCGAGGCGCGAGCTCAATCGCGCCACCTTTTGTCCCTCTCTCAGCCTCTGGTAAAGAAGTCTTTTCCTGTACCTGTCGCAGCTCTGGTCGTTGGGCGCACCAGGCTCTCTGCGAACGTTCGCCGAGCACAAGTACTGCGTTTACACGGTCGCCTGGTAAGCCTCCTCATTCTGTCGCTTGAGTTTCGCTGCCTTCCTCACATTGTAATTCCAGCCTCCTTTACTTGCCGACTGAATCACGCTGCATTCTTTACCTCTTCCAAGATTGCGGATCTCCCACGGAACCCCTACGGATCTCCCGTTAGAGAACCGCTTGCGCCGCCACGATTCAGAAGGAGTCGAAGGCTTTGTCAATTTCTTCAGATTGTCTGAAAGGCGGATGCTAAGGAAGCGAGATGCCTTTCTCTTGAAGAGTTGGCTGAGTGCAAGAGTTGATTACAAGCTTTGCCTTACTTTGATTGCCTCGATTATGATTCTATGATGGCACGAGAACATGCCTCTCAAGAACTTCCTACCGGTTTCTTCTCAGCTTCCGTATCCTCGAACGGCAATGTTTCGCGCCATCCCTTCAAGACTGGGCGTTCCGGCAAGGCCTCAAAGATAGGGACAACATCTATCGATGTCTGTAGGTGCTGCTTTCTGACGTCATGCTGACGTCGTGTGCAGGAACCCGGCCCACGCGGACATCTTTGCTTCTGCGTCCGGTGATTGCACGCTGCGGATATGGGACGTCCGACGTGAGTGATAGACGCCTTTGTGGCCATTTCAGTATTTTCTTTGGTGATGACGAGTTATTGTCTCGAATCGTACGAGTCTGCTTTGCTCTCAATGTCAAAAACGGTGTGTAGAAGTCCCCTTTTTGATAATCTACCGGTGCACCTGAAGGATTCCGCCGAGGAAAACGTTTCCCTTTTCGTTTTTTTTTGACAAAGTCCTTTTCCGGAGCCCAATTAGTTGCTCTTGGCACGGCTGTGCATGACTGTGAGATTAATGCATGACGGTCATCTTCAGAAATGGTTAGAGCCAGGATTAATGAGCCACAACCAACACTGAAATCCTAACCCAACGATTCACATGCTCCGCACCCACACCCTCCCTAACCCCGAAACCAACCCCACCCGTCTCAGGCTGGCGAGTTAAGTATTCCTGCCGCTTATTATTCCTGATCCAGACGGAGCTCGGCTATGCTCTTGCTCTCCCATGCGCTTCTGAGCATATCTCAATCACGTCCATTGTTCGGACTGCTTCACGGCGTATTTCAACCTGATTGTGTGCCGCTAAGTGGGAATATTTCCGGGACATTTTCTTTCCGGGATTCCACCACTCATCCGTCTGCCGCCCCGGTGTGCAGAGCCTCATTCGACTCTCGCGATCCCGGCGCACGAGTTCGAAATCCTGGCCTGCGACTGGAACAAGTACAACGACTGCGTCCTCGTCTCCGGCTCTGTAGATAAAACCATAAAGCTCTGGGTGAGTTGTCTCGGGCTCTCAGGAAAGATCATGGAGCCCTTTCGGCAAGTTGTCTCCGGGTCTGTAGATAAATTTATAAAACTCTGGGTGAGTTGTCTCGGGCTCTAAAAGGAGACCTCAGAGCCTCGGCGAGTCATCTCGGGTTTTGTTTATAAAAGCATAGAGCTTTGGGTGAGTTGGTTTGGGCTCTGAGAAAAGACCATAGAGCTATGTCGGCGAATCGTCTCGGCCTTCGTTGACAGACCGTAAAGCTTTGGGTGTGCCTCAGCTTTTATTAATCCGTTGCCGGAAGGAGTCTTCACATCCAACGCCCTCAGACTGAGCTCAATGTGTTTTGTTGAAGAACGTAATCCAACGTCGAAGTTGGGTGTTTGGGAGGCCGCAGCTCGGAATACCTGAATCTTCGGACGTTGAGAATCTCGAGAGGGAGAAGGAGGTTGTCTGCTGCCCATTCCCTGAATGCAGTGCGTCCGATTGGTCTCACCAGCCATAGGATGTTCGCACTTGGCATTTCTCGGCCAAAACCGAGCCCGATCGAGCTCCGTCTGGACCTTTCAAGCTTGAGAGCTTGATTGGTTTTAAATTGGGTCACCAAGAAAAATGATCAGTTAAGCTCGGGTTTTGAACTCCTCGCGCCCAAACACCAAAGATCGTGTCGACCGTGTACGGACCAGAAGTGCAAACGGTACGGGTCATACCGAGGCCGATGAGGCCGGGTGGTCGAAACCTCCCATCCAAAAAAAATCCAGTGCGAACACCCTATTAATATCTGGATAGAGATACGATCACGGCTTTGCACCACCTCACCTGTTTGAATGACAACTCGATGGTTACGAGTCAACAAGGGGCTGCTGATTCCTTATCTGCTTAGCCGCACCCAGCTGCTAGTTTACTAGGTTAATTCAAATTTGCCGTTCCTGATTCTTCTTTAATGGCCAATCAATTTCTCTCAACTCAAGCTGCTATCCATGCTGCAGGATGTAAGGAGTCCCCGGGAACCTATGACCGTCTTACAAGGCCACACGTAAGCTTTTTCTTTGGGAGCAGGACATTGAGATTGGGCGCCGATGTACTCGTAGGCAACATCGTTCAAAATGTGTCTGCATCCTGTCTAACGGGCCTTTTGTCGCCTCCGGGAAGGAATGCATTAATATGTTGGCCAGTTCTGCTCGACTGTATCGTCTGCGGTAACTCAGGGCACTCCGAGTGGTCATAATTGAGGCCTGCCTTCAAAACCCTTCGACGAACCATTTCTGGAGCTTAGATTGCGTTTGGATTTCCCCTTGTTTCATAATCTCCAGGTTCTTCCTCTTGTAGCTTCTTTCAACGAGTATCCGAGCCGATTGTGTGGAATGTTGGGCCAATTGTTTTTATTTTTCCCTTTCGGGGGTTGCAGGTACGCTGTCCGACGAGTGAAGTTCTCCCCCCACCACGCCAACCTCATCGCTTCCTGCTCCTAGTAAGTAGCCGTTCTCCTCGCGGTAAAGTTGAAGGCCAACGTTAGCGCCGCTTTGCATTTGACCTCAACCGCAAGTTTCTCGCTCCCTCATTTCAATCTCTGAATTCGGCGTCGTCACGTATCGAACCGCTCCTGCTCGATCGATTTCATTAGGTGCGTTATTGTCTTGGCCGCGTCGTTTTAGGGGATGGAGGAGAGCAGATCGAGCTTTCAGCGATTCCGGTTGACGCAGAACTCTAAGCAATGATGTCAAAGTCACCGATGTTCTATTTGGACGGAAATGTGTTGCGTATCTCTTTCTCATTTTCGGCCATCTGACAGCACTTTGAATTGCAAGCACAGACACTTATGAAGAGTTATGGCGAGAGCTTTGATTTTCGTCAGATCCTCTTCGGATCCGACTTGAAATATCTCCTTTGATGCGCAAGATTTAATGATGTCGCAGTGTTGCATGGGAAGAGGAAATGACTTCGGATCAATGTCTTACTGATTCGCGAGGTCTGCGGTCTGGTGTGGGCAGGTAGAGACTCCGCTTTCGAAGATTGCATGGGACAAGAAAACGAGCGCTGGGGTTCAGGAAGCGAAGGCTTGAGTGCCGGCAGAGCGGCTTGCCAGCTACATCAGCTGACGCCACGCTCCCATTTGCAGTGATATGTCGCTCTGCCTGTGGGACTACCAAGCGCCCGAGGATGCCCTCCTCATGCGATACGACCACCATACGGTGAGCTCCACGTGTCCTTTCGAGACACCGGTATGCGACCTCCGGTCTATTCGGTTTCCTTGGATGTTCTTCTCTCCCGTTCTCTCTTCTTCATTCCTCACACGCCCGTGTCGTTTCCTTCTCGGCAGGGCTCAGGTATATAATTGCTTCAACAGCGAAGGAAGGCACTTGAGATATGTTTGAAAAGCAGGCGTTTGAACGTTTTGTGCAGGGTGTTGCGGTTGAACTCTTTCTGAAGGCAGGCGTTTGATTATCTTGTGCAGGAATTCGCGGTTGGGCTGGATCTGAGTACGCTCGTGGACGGCTTGATGGCGAGCACGGCCTGGGACGAAACTGTATATGTTTGGCAACAAGGACAAGACCCGAGACTATAGCCAGCGTCGTATGTGCATACAGGGTTTTGTAGGCAACTCTCCGACAATGTCAAATTGTATATGTAGTTACTGAAAACGAGAGCCGGACGGCATATCCATGTATAGCAAAAGGCGCCCCTTGATACAGCTCGGCGCGCATTGCACCTCCAACCACATTTCGTAAAATGTGCGGTGCTTTATTCACAGCGTTTGAGGACGAGAGTGAGCTGATCCAACATGTCTTGATCTTAATCGTGCACTCACCAGAAGAAGCTAGTGACATCAAGCCATGACGTAATAACAACATTCAATGCACCCTTGGCATGGTGCTACTGTGCGGGCTCGAACCCAAAATCGCTCAGCCTCGCAATGACTAGATCGTGCATGCATGATACTATGAAGGAAGGGCTGAAGAGCGGAAAGATGGTGATTTTAAGTACCTACATGGGTCTCTGCTTCCGTTGGCTTGCTTCCGTTTCCGCTTGGGATATTTTTGCCCCCAGAGTGGCATGAGGAGCGCTTCCGCCAGTGACCGGCTGAGGTTTGGAAGCTTGCTGCAATTCTGCAGAGATAGGAGCTAGAGCTTGGGCCTTTGATTTGATGAATGGCCGGGCAGTCTCACAGCTAGTGAGATCTGCAAGTGAGACTGCAGATTCCGTTGGTTCCGTTTGGCAGTCTGAGATGTGAGAGAGTATGATTTTGGGTTTCATTCGGCGTTAGGGAAGGGTCATTTTGAAGCGGTACCCCCCGTAGTAACTGTTGAGGGGGGGGGACCCGGGACCAAGATTGGATTCCAGGGTCATGAAGGGGGGGGGACTTGGCCACCTGTGAAGTTCCTTGAGGCTACATGGGGGGGGAGCCTTTGCAGATCTTGCAGAAGAAAGGTCAGAGAGAGAAATCTCTAAATTAAAAGACCGATACAACCTTTTTCAACGGATTTTACTCTGCTTTCTTCGGCAAATACTCTAGAGTCTACAGGCTTGTCAAAAAGCCCTCGCGACTAGCTTGCTATAGGAGCTAATAGGAAAAGAATTCTGGAAAATACTCCGATCAGCCAAAATATTTGCAATTTTTAAGCCTTTCTATGGGAGGGGGACTTGAAACCCTCCAACGCTTCGACGGCATGGGGGGGGTACTTGGAACTTGAGCCAGCGAGACAAGTGAGTATGGGGGGGGGACAAGGGTCCTCAAACGAAAAGGGCTCAACAGTTACTACGGGGGGTACAGCTTCAAAATGACCCTTCCCTTAGGGGTTGGGCGTGGTTGCAATGTGGTTTTATTGTGGAGATCGGAGTGATGGTCACTTCTTTTTATACACGCTTAGGCACCTGGGCCCATGGCGCAGAAACAAGCAATTTCGGAGTGATCGAAGTAGTGGAAAAGCACATATTATGATGTGAGCGACTATGCCAGTGAGCCTTGAGGCTTGCGCGTGCGTGTGTCGGTGTATCGGTATGTCGACAGGTCGGCAGGTCGGTATGTCGACATTATGTGACCGATTACACGTCGCATTCGTACCGTACTTGAGAATAGTTGTTGGTGAACCCGGGTCCCGATTCCCGAACCCCCTTTTGAAACTTGGGCCGGGCCTATTCAGACCAAAAGTTGTGTCCCGGAGACTGTAGTATGTACAGTGTAG